CCGATCCCAAGCCAGGAGCCAGGTGCTTCTTCCTGGTCTCCCATGTGGGTGCAGGGGACCAAGCACTTGGGTCATCCTCTACTGCCTTTCCAGGCCACAGCAGAGAGCTGGATTAGAAGAGGAGTGGCCGGGACTAGAACCAGCATCCACATGGGATGCTGATATCACAGGCAGAGGGTTAACTTACTGCCACACAGCACCAGCCCCCTCAACTTGAGCTTTTTATGATTAGTGTTCATATAGTATATCTCTGTAAAATATTTATTTTTATTTAAATGGCAGAGATGGAGAGAGGTCTCATCTTTGATTCAGTTTCCAAATACCTACAATGACTGGGACTGTGCTGTGTTGAAATCGTCAGCCAGCAATTCAGTTACTTGCATCATCTAGCCCCCTAGAATCTGAATTAGCATGAAAGTAGAGCTGGAAGCCAGAACTGTGTATCAAACCAACATACTCCAATATGGGATGCAGTTTTCTTTACTACACTGTACATCCCACTCTGTATGATGCATCTTCTTTTACTTTTAGTTTGTGTACCTGTATTAAAATGGATCACTTATGGATTTGCATAATGAAATGTCTTGTTCTTTTAATCAAACCTGACGAGTTCTGTGTTAATCATCAGTCCATTTACATTTAATTAAAATGTGGTTGAAATTATGTCTGCTATTTTATTATTTATTTTCTGTTTATCTCATTTGATTTGTTTCTCTGTTTTTCTACCTTCTTTTGAGGTCATCAAATATTTTAAATTATTTTTAAAAACCTTTTTATTTACATTGCTTATTTGGTACACACATGGAGAGAATTCCCATTCACTGTTTTACTTCCCCAGCTGCCTGCAATGACTGCAACTGAGCCAGGCTGAAGCCAGAACCTGGGAACTCACTGAAGCTCTTCCTCCCACTTCACACAGATGTCTGAACACCAGTCCCTTGAGCCATTGCCACTGCCTACTGGGGTCCTCCCAAGAAGGAAGCTAGCACAATGAGTCTGAGCCCAGGCACTCAAATATGGCACACATGCATCTTAACTGACATCTAAGCACTAGGCTAAAAGCCATTGCCAATAAAGTGTTTTAAATATTTCATATGGCATTCCTGTTGTATATTTATATCTATGTTATAGATGAAACATGTTTTTCCAAAAGATGTATGTGGACATTCATAGGACCTTCAAATGAGTAATTGAGATTAATAGGGTCCTTTGGATGGGCCCTTATCCAATTCAACTGCTGTCTTTGGAAGAGAAACACCAAGGATGGGCCATAGGAAAGATCAAGTGAGGACATAGAATTTGGCCATCTTCCAACCAAAGAAAAAGGCCTAGGAGAAACCAAGTCTGAAGAAGCTCACTCTTGAATTTTCATTCTCCAGAACTATGAAAAAATATATTTCTGTTGTTTAATCCACTCAGTCTATAGTATTGAATTATGGCGACCTTAGTAAGGGCATACAATGCTTTATTTCTTTCTTTTTTATAGATTTATTTATTTATTTGGAAGTCAGAGTTACAGCGAGAAAAAGAGAGGCAGAGAGAGAGGAGGTCTTCCATCTGCTGATTCAACGCCCAATTGGCCTCAATGGCCAGAGCTATGCTGATTCAAAGCCAGGAGCCAAAAACTTCCTCTGGCTCTACCACATGGGTGCAGGGGTCCTAGGAATTGGGCCATCCTCACTGCTTTCCTGGATCACAACTGGAGCAGCCAGGACTTAAACCAGTGCCCATATGGGATGCTGGCATTGCAGGTAGCAGCTTTACCTGCTACGCCACAGTGCTGGCCCCTACCATGCTTTCTTGTATTAATTTTCTTCAATTGACACATAACCATATGCATTAATTGTTCTAAGGAATTACAATATGAATAATTTACCACAATATACATGATTAACACTGCACTGCATCATATGAATATAGGGTATTTTTCAAACAACAATTCCATTAAGATCCCTGTACAATGTGCTATTTTTATACCAATGTGTACATACTGAATTAACACATGTGTGCCACGCGTGGTGTGATAGCTTTTGCTTCAAATAACGATCTCTCTTTTAAGGAAATTAATTATCTATATTCACCACTGCACATGCTTGTCATCTTTAGTGATTCTGATTTGTCGCTGTACATCCAATAAAGAATCTTCCAACATTTTTTTCAGCTTGTAGACTTCCTACAGTATTCAATGGTGTAGGTCTGCTGATGACTAATTATGTTAGTACTTTTGTCTGGAAATTTTCTTTATTCACATCATGTTTTAATTTTTATGTATTTTTATTCATTTGGAAGGCAGACAGACAGATCTTCCATAAATTGATTCACTACTCAAAAGCACATAGCAGTGAGGTAGGGCCAGGCCAAAGCCAGGAGCACAGGATACAATTTAGGTCTCCCTTGCAGAGATCAGGGGACCAAGTACTTGAACCGTCATCTCATGCTTCCCTGAGCATCAGTAGCAGTAGCAGTGGCAGAAGCAGGCAGGTTGGTGAAAGCATCCCAGGCAGCCACTTAATCTGCTGTGCCATAAAGCTTGCCCTTATTAACCTCATATTTTGGAGTGGTTTCACTCAGTAAAGAATCTGGAAAGGGCCAGCACTGTGGCTCAACGGGTTAAAGCCCTGGCCTGAAGCTCCAGCATCCCATATGGGTGCTGGTTTTAGTCCCGGCCACTCCTCTTCCAATCCAGCTTTCTGCTATGGCCTGGGATAGCAGTAGAAGATGGCCCAAATCCTTAGGGCCCTGCTCCCATGTGGGAGACCTGGAAGAAGCTCCTGGCCCCTGGCTTTGGATTGGCCCAGCTCTGGTCATTGCAGCTATTTGGGGAGTGAACTGGTGGATGGAAAACTCTCTATCTCTTTCTTTCTTGCTCTCTGCCTCTGCCTCTCTGTAACTCTTCCTTTCAAATAAATAAATATATCTTAAAAAAATATCAGCTTTGTGGCTAACTTTGTGGCCCAGGGGTTAAGCTGCCAACTGCCATGCCAGCATCCTGTATGAGCTTCAGTTTGAGTCCTGGCTGCTCTGCTTCTGACCCAGCTCCCTGTTGATGCACCTGGAAAAGAGCAGAAGATGGCCCCTGTGCTCATGTGGAAGACCCAGATGGAGTTCCAGGCTGCTGGCCTCAGCTTGGACCAGCCCTGGTCTTTGTGGCCACTTGGAGAGTGAAGCAGCAGATGGAAGATCTATCTGTCTCCCTGTGTCTGTGCAAGAGGATGAAGGAGGCCGGGTCTCAGGGGTTGCTGCTGTGGGTGAGATTACACCCCACACTCAAGACTGACCAGCCACGCAGCCGCACCATGGTAAGCCCACCAGCTTGCAGTCAAACTGCTCTTTGCCTCAAGTCCTCTGTACCCATAATGTGCCATCACTGCCCATTCCTATCTTCCCATGAGCATTGAAAGTGTGTGTCCCCACTTATGACTGAAGTCTTTGCAAGGTGACTCAAGTTCTGCCCAGAGCACCAAGGCATTGGGGACAGAGGAGCAGAAACTGCTTTCATGATGCTCCTGCTCCACCTGTTGTACAGTCTAGCCCTCAACCAGACCCATACCCTTCCTCCCTCCTTTCTTCCCTCCCTCCCTCACTAGGAAGGGTAGTGGTTTTAGAACACTGACTGCTTGTCCACCCTGAGGCTGTGGGAGGAGCTGTCAGAATACCAAAGCAACTGCCCCACCCCCCCTTCACTAGGCAGATGATTCTGCCTGTACATTGGGGGACACATGACATTTTGCCAGGACATTTGTGGACACTGTGGAAAACAAAACCAGTTGGGGCCCTGCTACTCTCACGTGAGAATGCACAAGAACAAGCCAAGATGAAGGGGTGGAGGAAAAGCAGTGGCATTTTAAGAAAAGTGGTAAGAAAAGAGGTGACCCATGGGCAGAGAAGTGAAAGAAGGGAGGGGAGCATTGCAGGTGGCAGGAACAGCAAACTCCAAGTTCCCACTAAAGAAAGATTAGTGAAAGCAGGTGCATGATTCAAACATGTTTTGCTTCCGATTCATCCCAGAAGAGGACAGGGAGGACAGGAAGGAGCTCATGTGGAATTGAGTAAAGTGTGTTATCTACCCTTTATCAGGCTAACAGCTTCTTACAGAAGGGCCCACAGTCTGGAGCAAAGTCAATCTGTTTTATAGCATGTTTCCAGAATCAGCTATAAACAACTGGATGTGTGACTAGCTGGTGGGAATCCTTGCATTCTGTTAGTGTAGCCCCTGCCCCACAATACAGCAAGGTAGAAAAGAAATCAGAACCTCTGAGCCTTGTCTCCCCCGAAACCCACCCCGGGGATTAATGGAGAATTACTGGAGGAGATTGTTTCACTGTGTGTAAGGGAGGGAGAGAGGAGAGTGGGTGCAGGTTAGGGAGAGGAAGTCTCAAACTCTCACCCGAAATGCAGGTCTGTCATTCAGGATCTTCCTGATGTTATACAGGTGATGCTCAAATTCATTTTGTGATTTGGTCAAGGTCAAGTTTTCATTTTCATTTCCTTCTTTCATACAAGCACATCCTAACATATCCCCACCCCCTAGTAACTCAGGGGTGCCATACTAGCTGTTTCCAAAATGTTCATGAAAAATGCAAAAACATATGCATGGATTTTGAATTTTTTCCACTAAAATAAATGTAGCTTTCAGCTCCATTTCCCATGAACGTGAGTGACACTTGTATTTCAGCATGTCAGTTACATGTGACTTCCCACTTACCTTGCTTTCTCATGATCCTCTACATTGAAGGTGAAGGCAGGAATGGTTTCTGTTTGTCTTGTAGTCCTAGAATGGGTTTCTGTTTGTCTTGTGGTCCTAATCCTTCTTCAGTGCCTGTTAACAACTGAATAAGTGACTTGTAAAAGTGTTCCGTGCCTAAGTGCTCCTTTACCTTGTACTTACGGAGAGTGACCTAGCCCGAGGCTCTGACACCCAAATGAGGTGTTTCTACAAATGAGATATTTCTCCTTGAATGGAGAAGGAAAAAAATAAAGGGTTCAATTATGCCTTCAAATAAAACCTCGTTTGAGACTCACGCAATCTTCCCAACAAACTGCACCCACACTCCCCTATCACTCTCTGCATGACACAAGATTTCTGCCAGGGAGTCGCCATTAAGCAAGTCTGAGCATGCGCAAGTAAGGGTTGCTCTGCACAGGTCAAAGCATATATAGACAAAGCTTAGCCAGGGACAGTGCCGACTAGAAGACTGGGTGCTTGACCATAACATGTGGAGAGAATGGCTCAAGACCTGACTCAAACAGGATTCTAACTCCTGTCCAGCTGGCCTTCCCAGGTTACACGGACTCTGACAAGGAGGTGAACCAGCAGCTCCACCTGCTGGCCAGTGTGACCCGTAGGTGGAGAGTCCAGGAGGGTAGGTGCATGCATTCCACAGGTCTTGAGCACCTTTGCCTTTTGAGTGGCAAATGCTCCTGCCGCCTTCCTCCCCCACTAGCATGAAGGCCTTGCGTTCAGTGGATTCCACGGAGCTGCCAAGTTTGCTTGAACTGTGTGATAGATGCCTCCTGATAGTACAAGCCCCGTGCCTGCTGGACTTCTCTCCCCATCTGTAAAAGCAGGAAGATGGAATTATATCTAACAGAGGTCCTCTCCAACTTTAATATAACAAGGGTAAAAATTAAGAATCAGAAGAGACTGAGAGGAAACATATGGAATTTGAACGGTGGAGACCTGGGAGGCTGGTTGACGTGTGGTTCTAATTATTGGTTGGAGAAGATCAAGTTCCCCATTCAAGTTCTCCCTTTCTCTGAATTCCATAGCCTCTGAGAAGTTCAAGTGGTCAGAACTTCCTACACAGAGCTCCCATCATCATTTGTTTCCTATAGGGAACGAATATAAAGTGTTTCATTTAACTCATAATTGCTAGCAATACACACTTCAGGCCCAAGCGTGGGGCCTTTTGGGCTTGATTCATGAACCAAGTAACTTCTTTATTTTTTAAAGATTTATTTATTTATTTGAAAGTCAGCTACACAGAGAAAGGAAAGGCAGAGAGAGAGAGAGAGAGAGAGAGAGAGAGAGGTCTTTCATCTGCTGGTTCACTCCCCAACTGGCCGCAATGGCTGAAGCTGCGCCTATCTGAAGCCAGGAGCCGGGAGCTTCTTCCAGGTCTCCCATGTAGGTATAGGAGCCCAAGGACTTGGGCCATCTTCCACTGCTTTCCCTGGCCATAGCAGAGAGCTGGATTGGAAGTGGAGCAGCCAGGACTAGAACCAGTACCCATATGGGATGCTGGTGCTTCAGGCCAGGGCATTAACCCACTGTGCCACAGTACCGGCCCCCCAAGTAACTTTTCTAAAGATTCCTATTCTCCAGAAGAAAACCCAAACCTATATCATACAAGTTAAATTCCTAGAAGAAAATTCAGATTTAAATCTGCCTTAGGCTTCCCATTACATCTATCAGATTAAGAAATTAAGACGAGCACAATACAAGGTTCTTAGAGGAGCAGTTGATTACATGCAGTTTCTACAAATAGGGATAAGTTATGAAATGGCCATAAAAAGCCAGTTGAGGAGGTAAGAATGGTTAGGGATTGTTAGATATAAAATCTTGAGTCTCTGTTTATAAAATGAAGTCTTTCCAGTGAACACGATGTTGTGATGTGTCTGGTAAATTCTCCAGTGGGGAACACTTGGGTGTGTTGAATTAGATTCCAGGCAGCTAATACTTGGGAATACTTTCACAGGTGACCAAAGGTGGGTGTGTCACTGGTGGTGCCCAGCTTACCCCTTGATCCTTCTTCATTGTGGGAGCAAGTAATTACAGCTTGGAGAGACAAAAGTAGGAGTAGGACAGCAGAGGTTTTTCAAGTTTGTTCAAGGAAAGAACGTGCTGTTGTGAGAAAGTGTGGCACTCACTCTATTCCTGGTCTCTGGCTTCCTCCCTCATGTGAGAGAGCATTGACTGGTGATGTGGCCATGATGCTAACGATTGGCATTTTTTTCTCTGACTGTGTTGCTTTATTTATTTATTATTATTTTTATCTTTCGCCCAAGAAACCTTTTAGCCAAGGAATACAAACCTCATGCATTTCACAAGCACAACCTTAGGAACACAGTGATTCTTCCCCCACACCCACACTCCCACATACTCTCCCACCCCTCCTTCCCTTCCCTCTCCCATTCCTGGTCCCATTCTCTTTGAGGACAGAGGTCCTGCATGGGAAGTTAGTGCCATGACTCTTGTTGCTAGTTTAACAGTTAACACTCTTACGTATGATGTCAGTGATCACCCAAGGCTCTCAACATGAGCTGCCTAGGCTATGGAAGTCTTTTGGATCCAAAATCCTTCAGGAAGTGGCAAGTATTTCTGGGGCTCAAGCTAGAAATAGGGCCTTCAGAGTAGAAAGATGGGACTGAGGGGAACATTCCCAATGGGGCCCGTGGATGTCCACTGAGCTAGTCTGGACACAAGCCCTGGAAATCTGGTGGAAGGCTGAAGGTCTAAAGAGACCAAGACAGCCTGTCCAGAGAAGGTGGAATATGGTTGGACATCACTTATACAAGCATTCGAGCTTGGTTTTTGGACACTTTTATGCATTTTGTGTATCAGCAAAGGGAGATTTGCAATGGCAAAGTTGGGAGAGAGTAGTAAGAGAAACTAATACTTTCTGTGCAGGAGAGGAGGGTAGGGTTCTGTGGTGCTGAGACCCTGGGGTATCTTCTTATGCCTGCTCTGTCTCCCAGTTACAGAGTCCTCACTCTGCCTCCTCAGGACACATGCTCCCCTCACACTGGTTCTTCAGGTCAAGGTGATCTTGATTTGGGAATGTTTTAACTGATGGAAAAGCACAGATTGTTTTTTTTTTAATTATTATCCAAGTAATAAGCCTACCACTTCTCATTATGCTTGGCAGCCTATTTGAATGCAGTCCACAAGACACAGATATGAGTAGCCTAGAAAATATCTGAACCAAAATCAAATATTCTTCCAAATGAAGTTGAACTTCTTGTTGTTTGGACTCACGTTATTGGATTCATGAACCATGCTAGGCAGTACACAATCATTTTCATGTTTTCATTCACTGCTCCATTGGCCTGATGAGGTGGTTCCAATTTTAGACAGAGAAATAGATTCAGAATGATTTTCCCAAGGTTGCAAAACCATACTCTTGCTCCCATCACAGGTTCCATGGACTGGATTCCTTCTATGGGTGTGACTAAAGCAGTAACCTGGGAAGCAAGAGGACTTCATAGCAGCCTAAGCATCTGTAGGCTCCTCCTTAGGCAAGAGCTAGTGAAACTGAATCCTGGTCTGCAGCTATACTCCATGTCACCAACTACAGTAGCCACCTACTTTATTTTAAACAAGCCTTAGGCAAATCATTTTTCTGAGCTTCTGTATCTATGAAGTGTGTTCACCTGACCTCTTCACTTGAAAAGAAAATGAGAGCATAAGGAAAGCATTATTTATGAATTTTAAGCAAAAGTGGACACTAACTTTGCAGGGAAGTTTATCTGGGCTAGGGAGTGGCAAGGAACTAACACACGAACAGTCACTGTGCTGCAGAAACTTGACATTTATCCTAAAAGGTAAAGAGATCATTCCCCTTGTATAATGGAAAGGCAAGTTCCAAGTGATTAGCTAGCTCAAAATTGGTGTCAGAGGCAAGATTCCAATCTAGAACTGACTAGCACCAGGCCAGGTGCCCAGAGATTTGAACGCCAAGATTACACCATAACCAACCTAAGTTGCATGGAGACCGAACTGAAACATCCCCAGATATCCCACTAAAAAACTGGAGGACTTCCTCCAATTTAAATATCAGTCATTTCACTAAGCAATTGCCACTTGCCGCACACTGCAATGAAGTTAAAACAGCACACAATGAAAGATACAAGCAATTCTGATACGAATGTTTCAGCTTCTTTTTACTAAGGTCAGTCCACTTGTAAAGAGGTTAACAAGCCCTGTGGGAAAAGAGAATTGAAGTTAGAGAACACACACTGAGTGAGACGGCTGAGCCACTCAGAAGTTAGCTGACTTCACAGAGGGAGATAAGTCTTAAGAGAAACTCCCAACAGCTCCTACAACAGCAGCCCACCATAGGGCTGAGCTCCTTGTGGAAGTCCAGCAAAAACTCATGCCTTGATGACTATTTCATGCATATTTCACATCATTCAGCCCTTAATTATTAAAATCAAAAGCTGAAAGTAAAAATCAAAGCTAAAGACAAAAGAGTTCCAAAAAGAGTTTGATATACATAGTAGCAGCTTCACCAACAGCAAGAAGTTACCATTGAATACTGTCGCCTGGCTAGGATTTTTCCCAAGGGACATTCTTCCACTAGGTCCCACAACCATTTTCCTCAGAGACAGATGTCCCAGACTTCCTCAGCATCTCTGTTCATCCCAGGACTCACCAACATCTCACTGCTCACCACGTGCTCTTCCTCTTGGTGACTTTCTTTAATGCAGGTGGGATTTCTTGGTGATGCCATACTGTTCTAGAACACAAAGAGGCAAAGTCAAGAGAGTTGGTCTTGGAAGTAGAAGCTGAGATTGAGGGGCTATTAGAAAGGGCTGATTTGTTCTCTACGGCTATTACTGTAGGAATTATGGCCTATTTAAAAACTGAGAGGTAGAAGATGGCGGAATAGTGAGGGCGCGCACCGATAGTCCGAGAAAATTTAGTTTAATAAAAGGGGAGTTACGGTAGGCTCAGAAAAAAGAACCAGGAAAATATTGCACAGGAAACTCTTCTGGATCCAGTGGTCGTGAATCGGAGGACCTACTGGGAGAACAAGGTTGCCCACCGCGCGAAAGCTGAGTCGCGCCGGACCGAGCCGCGGAAGCTGAGCCGCGGGACCGAGCTGCGCAAGCTGAAGGGTCTGCGCGCAAGTGCTCGAAAGGGAGTGCGTGCCACACAGACAACAGTGGAGAGACTTGGGACGTCCAGAGCTCCGAGTCCACACATCGGCGCTGGAAGGGGAGCGGACCTGCGTGGAGAGCGTGGGAGCCCACAGTTTGGGACACCAGCGGCAGAATCAACACACCAGTGCTGGAACGCGAGGTGAGCCGAACCTCAATAACCCGAGACACCGGCAGGCAAGCGGAGAGAGGAGACTAGAGGGAACGACCCCCGGGGGGGGACTTCACCAAGCTAACTGGAAGAGAGAGAGAGGGGAAAAAAAAGGTGACTGGTATGGACACGGGTTTCTCTCTCTCCGCTCACCTCTCAAGAGCGAGCAAGACAAAGAGCAGGCGCCATCTTGGACATACGTCATAAGCAGAGCGACCTCAGGTCTGCACTGGCCCTGAGCCTAGCAGAAAAACCTGACTCTGGGTGGGGCGAATTAACAGGAGATTAGGACCTAGTAAATTTGTGGTGCTACTGAACTGAGACTGTGAAAAAAGAGACTGTGGGGGAGAGAACTCACGGAATTCACGTGAGCACTCTCCAGAGACGCTACAATTCTGTAACTTTGGCAACCCAGTGGGAGACTGAAGGAGAATTTGAGCCCACTCTGAGGGCAGAACAGATTCCCTGTGTGGTCCTTGGGAAAGAGCTTCCGATCTCTGGCTCCTGTGGGTATATCATTTGCCTGCTAACTACCTCCAACTTCGTTCAGCTGTGCAGAATAACTTCCCTTTTGAATAAAAAAAAAAGAGAGAGAGAGAGAGGTTTACCACGCCTAACCTGGGAGTGTCACCTTTGGCACACCAAACAGAACTCTCAGGCCACACCCATCTCAAGCCCTAAGGCTCCATCAAAAACAGTCCACTTAATCTAGAGTCATAGTATAACAAGAAAAAGCACCACAGTGAAGAAACCAAATATCTCCAATATACCAAATAACAAACGCAAAAACCAAGGTAATAAAAACAAGGAAGTCACCATGAAGCCCTCAAATGAAAAAGACACCCCAATTCAAGATTATGAGGATGATGACATAGAAGAAATGCAAGAAGCAGATCTCAAACAATTGATAAGAACATTAAGAAGTTCTCAAAAACAAATTCTTGAACTACAGAAATCCTTAATGGACAAGATAGAAAATCTCTCTCATGAAAATGAAATATTAAGGAGGAATCAAAATGAAACGAAACAACTAGTACAACAGGAAACTGGGATAGTGACTGAAGTGAAGAATTCAATAGATCAAATGAAAAACACAATAGAGAGCCTTACAAACAGAATGGGTGAAGCAGAAGAGAGAATATCGGACTTAGAAGACAGAGAACAGGAAAGGATACAGTCAGACCAAAGAAAAGACGAGGAAATTAGAAATCTAAAACATATTGTCGGGAATCTTCAGGATACTATTAAAAAACCCAACATTCGGGTTCTAGGAGTTCCTGAAGGCATGGAGAGGGAGAAAGGATTAGAAGGCCTTTTTAGTGAGATATTAGCAGAAAATTTCCCAGGTTTGGAGAAGGACAGAGAAATCCTAGTACAGGAAGCTCACAGAACCCCTAATAAACACGACCAAAAGAGATCCTCACCACTACACGTTGTAGTTAAACTCTCCACAGTGAAACATAAAGAAAAGATCCTAAAATGTGCAAGAGAGAAACGTCAGATTACTCTCAGAGGATCTCCAATCAGACTCACAGCTGACTTCTCATCAGAAACTCTACAAGCTAGGAGGGAATGGCGAGATATAGCAAAAGTACTAAGAGAGAACAACAGCCAGCCCAGAATATTATATCCTGCAAAGCTCTCATTTGTGAATGAAGGTGAAATAAAGACTTTTCATAACAAACAGAAATTGAAAGAATTTGTTGCCACTCATCCAGCCCTGCAAAAGATGGTTAAAGATGTGTTACACACAGAAACAAAGAAACACGGTCATCAATATGAAAGAAGGTAAAGGAAGGAAACCAAGGAAGGAAAGCTCATAGCAAGAGATCACAGGGAATTCAAAGCATATATTAGAACTTATCTTTGGCAAATGGCAGGGCAAAGTTACCACTTATCATTAGTCACATTGAACGTGAATGGCCTGAACTGTCCAGTTAAAAGACACAGATTGGCTGATTGGGTTAAGGAACAAAACCCATCTATTTGCTGCTTACAAGAAACACATCTTTCCAACAAAGATCCATAGAGACTGATAGTGAAAGGCTGGAAAAAGATATACCATGCCAACAGAAATGAAAAAAGAGCAGGCGTAGCCATCTTAATATCAGACAAAATAAACTTTACCACAAAAACCGTTAAGAGAGACAAAGAGGGACACTACATAATGATTAAGGGATCAATTCAACAGGAAGATATAACAATTATCAATGTATATGCACCTAACTACAGGGCACCGGTTTATCTAAAAGATTTGTTAACGGACTTAAAGGGAGACTTAGACCCCAATACAATAGTACTGGGGGACTTCAATACTCCACTCTCAGAAATAGACAGATCAATAGGACAGAAGATCAACAAGGATACAGTAGATTTAAATGACACTATAGCCCAAATGGATCTAACAGATATCTACAGAACTTTCCATCCTACAGCTAAAGATTTTACATTCTTCTTAGCAGTACATGGAACCTTCTCTAGGATTGACCACATCCTAGGCCATAAAGCAAGTCTCAGCAAATTCAAAAGAATTAGAATCATACCATGCAGCTTCTCAGACCATAAAGGAATGAAGTTGGAAATGAACAACTCAGGAATCCCTAGAGCATATGCAAACACATGGAGATTGAACAACATGCTCCTGAATGAACAATGGGTCATAGAAGAAATCAAAAGAGAAATCAAAAACTTTCTGGAAGTAAATGAGGATAACAGCACAACATACCAAAACTTATGGGACGCAGCAAAAGCAGTGTTAAGAGGGAAGTTTATATCAATAGGTGCCTACATCAAGAAATTGGAAAGGCACCAAATAGATGAGCTTTCTATTCACCTCAAGGATCTAGAAAACCTACAGCAAACCAGACCCAAATCTAGTAGGAGAAGAGAAATAATTAAAATCAGAGAAGAAATCAACAGGATTGAATCAAGAAAAACATTACAGAAAATCAGCCAAACGAGGAGATGGTTTTTTCAAAAAATAAACAAAATTGACACCCCATTGGCCCAACTAACTCAAAAAAGAAGAGAAAAGACCCAAATCAATAAAATCAGAGATGAAAAAGGAAATGTAACAACAGACACCACAGAAATAAAAAGAATCATCAGAAATTACTACAAGGACTTGTATGCCAGCAAACAGGGAAACC